TGACTGTCGTTTTATTTGATGAACATGTCATATACTGGTTACTAACTGTTGCCCGCGACTCCGTCCACGTGAAATTTAAAATAATAATAAAGAAATAAAAAATTATAACCGATGTTACTCGCAGATAAACAACCTTTCTAACGGTGAAAGAATTTTTAAAATCGGCAAAGTAGTTTTGAGTTATTTCAATACAATTTAACAAAGTTTTCCTTTTTATAATATTGTATAGACACACAAATGTAATGTTTATTGCTCACGCTAAAAAGTTGTCTGAACAAAACATACGTGTAAAGTTAAAATGAAAATTGAAAATGAACATAGCAAGCATAGGTTTATTTAAACTAAACTCACTAATGCGAAACGTATATTTCAATGTAAGTTTAATAAGCTGGCAGCTGAAGTATTACAACTAAATGTGTCACCTAGCCATGCAGTTGGGAACTACTGTGACAGAATTTCAGCAGTTAATCTTGGCGGCAGCGGGCGAATCGGGTAGCATTCGCTATCTGTTGCAACACACTTGGCAAAGCAACCAAACTCCTAGCCAACTGTGACAATGCTTTTTCTGCGTATTTTATATCGCTTCTCCGACGGATAACCTTAAGTAAAGTGCTTAGAAAGATTTATATATATCGACGTCACTTTACAGATAAATATCTGCCTCGGGATAAAAATTTCTTAGTAAAAGTTCGAGAGTTTAAAGTGATATAAATGTATTCTGAAAGTAAACGATGTATTTTTCTTTCATTCTTTTGACAATGTGCAGATAAAGTAGAATGAATCATGGATCCACACGACTTATACAAAACTTTAAGATCTCGTTGAAATAATAATCGGCTAACGTTGTTTGCAAAATGTATGCTTTCAATTTCAAAGGTGGTATAAATATAACAAGGGACAATCCGAGAAAAATAATTAGTTACCAAAATATTTTTGTCAGTACATACTTTTTATAGCATTTGAGTTTATAAAAGAAAAGAAAATAATGCACACGAAGGCCAGAGATTTTGTATGATGGCATCATTTTATTGTTCCCAGTAGAGTAGACAACTGTATATTTTCACTACCGGCTACAAAAATACCCGGGCGTCGCACGCGAACCGGCAATCATGGCTATTCATGATTTCGCCTAAATGCCACAAATCGAAAATTCGTGTCGAGTAAAACGTACGTAAAAAGCAAAAAATATATTATTCATTCAATCGAAGATTTTTTGCTGGTAATAAATTGTTTGTAATATATTTTTATAACATGAAAGTTGCGGATGAATATAGTATTTATTATTCTGAATTATTTATTGTACAAAAATACTCATCTTACTGAAAAATAAATAGTAGAGAGGTAACTCCACAAGAGTGAACTTTATAAATGCTGGTAAACAGAAATGTTGGAGGGCCGTTTTTGTAAGTGAAAAATGTAGAAATTTAGTTCACTTGAAGTAAAAAGTTTATAGAAAATAGAATAAAACCAATATAACATTCAATACCTATTGTACATACATCGATTTTAACTAATAATAGGACAAGTACTATCTTAAATCCCTTGGGAAAATGTCAGCTATAAATCCTTGTTATTTCACGTGTTGTTGATATTTACCTATAAACGGTAGCAATAAAGCAATTTAACTCATTTCGCTGGCGAAGCTTTGCTGCTCCGTGCTGCCATGAATATCAAGAAGGGTGGGTCGCAGTCGCCGTCGCCTCAGCCGGGCCTTTATGGCGCGAAACTTAAACAAGCCTCCCGTGTCACGCGATCCTGACAACGGAAGTTATAAACGAACAGCGAATTTCATATTTTCAAATATATCTCGTTGTGTTTTTTTTTTTCAATATAAGTAGTGATTTACAATCTATTATTCACATAAGCAAGTAGTGGCAAGCGAAATCTCTACATAGGTATTTTTTAAATTTCCTTTAACTATATGAGTACATTGCACATTCAAACTACATTATTACAAGATATGCGCTGGGAAATACGTATGCTAGGACGAAGTTAAATAAAACTTAGCATTCTCTAAAAAAAAGTTTTCCTTATTTCCGCTCCCTCCTTTACTTTGGACCACAAACGATTACTTTCCTCAAGTGATTTATTAATCTCTCAATCAATAGCCAACTCCAGCAACAGACAATGAGGAAGAACGTAAGGGTTCATTAATAGATGTCACGACGACCAATACGTAGGAGTTTTAATCCTTATACCTTCACGGAGACCTTCGTTTAAATTGAGGAACATTTCACGGGTTTTTAGTATATTTTTATGACAAACTAAGCTCAAATTTCCAATTCATTAAATGAAGGAAGCGAAAAGCTAAAACGGAAATGAGAGTGGGTTTTGTAATTAACTGATTTTATCAGGAAATTCATACAAAAATTATTACAATGGTTTCATGACTGAAAAAACAACTGAATAGAGATACAGCAGGGTGTAGAGATTTTTTCTCGTGTTTGAAAACACCATTACCACTTAAGGTAATTTGTACAGGTAGCAAATACTAATAAAACTTATTAATTTCTTGGGACCAGCGAGAATGTACATGTAGTTTTTGTAGTGATTTCTTAAAAGTACATTTTAAAAACAAAAAGTGTAATGTAATAATGTTGGAATTGATTTCTTATTTCTTTTCCCTCCTTCGCTACTTCGCAAATGACTTTATTCATTTTGCGAAAATTGGTTGCAATGTCTCTATTTGCAAGTAAATTTCGTTTTAATTACCTCATCAAGGTATCACGCAAAACAACGATCATGGAACAACGACGTGTGCCAATCAAAACAATGTTTTAGCACTTCATATAACACGAGCTTCACACGAATCGAGTTAGCTGATTCGGGGAAATGTAAATTTCCTTAGAAAGTTACAAAGAGTTACATTAACTAGTTCGTTTACTACAGCTTTTGAAGATAACTTTTGTAGATAGATTTGATGAATTTTAAATGTTTATAAGTAATCTATCTATACATATAATAAAATTTGAGTGTCTGTTTGTAACACCTAAAGAAAAATTCTAGGTTTCGGGAAGATACTGTATTTGCGCTGCTGATAACGAAAATCCCATTTACAAAATTTTTGATCGTCAGTCCGCAAGCCGCGTTTGTTCCGGGAAATCTCCGAAACGGCTGGGCAGATTTTGACCGGACCTTCACTGAAGGGTAGCTGACATAGACGGCCATATTTCAGGCTACTTTTTTTAAAATTCCACGCTGTCAAAATAGCGTAACGGGTGATCCAAATTTGCAGAAACGAAGTTTGCGGACAACGGCTCGTTTATTTATTTATTTGATATTGCAAAATGTCCTAGTTGCACAGAACTACGAACTAATATTGATGTCAGTCGTGACTGAAAAATAAAATAAGCGCATACATAAACGAAACTTACAATAAATTTATTTTCAAAAAGTATCGTTTTCATGGATTAATTTTCACAAGCAATTTTTGTTTGAGCAATCTGAACCTAAAAAATATCGCAATGCTTCAAAGTTACACAGGAGTATTTAATAGTTGTGTTCAGTATTATTATTTCGGCTCCAACCTCGTGCCGTGCATGTTTTTAAATACCTTTATGTTTGAAAACGATTCAAACTTTTTGCACCATTGTATCAAACATCTAGTGGCTTTTACCGTTCCAATAAAATAAAACAGAAACATTCAGATTATTTTCAATGAATGTTGCGTTTTACATATTTTTTTCTCTGCTTTAAAAATCCCTTCATAGTTTCGAATTGCATCGAATTTTTTGAAAGCGGATTTTCATATGTATGTAGACGATTTAAAAAAAAATGACATTTCAAATACAAAACGTTTAAAAATGCAAATATGCTTTATTTAAAATTACCGCTAAAAGATGTTAGTTAAAAAAAGTGCTTTATAATACTAAAAGCAGTAAATTTAAAGAAGGAAAAGACGAAAAGGAAGCTAACAAAATGGAGAGCGACCGGTTGACAGGTCACATGGGAACTGTATGCAAATATCTGCAAGTTGTGTTTCGCAATGAGGTCTTGTCAACGAGAACAAACTTGTGGAAGTCATGAATTTTTAAAATGAAACGACCTGTTTGTTTTTAAGATTTACGTAGCTGTTGATGTTGAGACTGTGAAATATTTGGCCATTCTGCTGTTAGCTAAGGAACTGCTACATTTTTAATCATTTGTACTAAATAATTCTTATAGTAACTGTTGTACTAAGGAGTATCTTAAAGCGTACTTTACACAGTAGTTTAAGTAACAATTAAACTGAATTAAGTGCTTTATTTAGTACCTTGAACATTTTTATATTTTAGTTTATAGACGTTTATCGAACCTTTTACAAGAACTGTAACTATTAATTTACTTAAATACTCAAGTTAATTAAAAAATCGATCGAAGTTCTAAAACATTTTAACGTAATCTTTTTTATACAGAGTTAATTAAAATGTTATTTTATACCATTTACATATTTCAGTAAACTTTTAGATACTTAAAAGTTTCTTTTAAGATCCTTTCATTGACTTATGGACGGTTTTGATCTAACAAAGTTAGGTAATTAAATAGTTGTGAAGACTCAACTTTGGCCAAAGTTATAACAAAAGTATGTAGATATTAAACTACATAGTTTAGTAATTTTTAATTGCGTTAAAGTATGTCTTAGGTATAAAATTATGTACGCGTGAGGTTTGTAATTAATTTTTATTAGGATAAATTGAAAACATTTAGTTCGGATTCAGTATGAGGTCGTAACGGTGATTAATGCTCTACCTCGCGTCGAAGGAAGCTAGCACAAAGCCGACATGGAAAAGGTATTAGGCAGTGGCTTCAATAAAAGGCCCAATAAGTTATGTAAAGTGCGGGTGCATCGCGTTACATTACAACCCCTACGTGCCCCGAGGGTTGGGACGCATGCGCGTGCACCGTCAGCCGCGCACGGCATATGCGGAATATTAAAGGAAGAAAGAGAAAAAAAAATTAACTTGTGAAGCCATTTTCGTCTATCGGCGCCCCTCGCCCTCGGTTCTCGGATGCAGAGTGACTCGCGCCGTCGTGGCTAACGGACGTCCCCGTCGCGCCACGCTTCACGACTCGCTTCGACGCTAACCGGTCTTTTACATGTGAATTTAAGTTATGCCTTCAATCATGTCAAACTCTACAAGGACCACTTTAGCTAGTTTTTTAACTTGATTATCGAGTGCTTAATACTTTTAAAACTTATCTAAAGTCTTGTGTGTGCATTTAATATACTTTTCGTGAAGTGTTCTTGAATATTTTAAAAAGTAAATCAGTTTTGTTTGTATTTTAAAGTGTCAAAACTTATAAATTTGTAGTCGGTACGCGTGTGTACTTTGGATTGTTGGAACTTATGAAGTTCTAGGAAGATATAAAAAAACTTATGTGTGTTAACGGTGATCTTTTTTGAAATTTAAACCCCGTGTGTAAACAAAAAGCGAGAACCAGCGTTCGACGATTGGAAATAAGTGAGGTAATACTTCAAATGGTTTTGTAGTACCGCCCGTCGTTTTGTTGATTTAAGTTTTTTTGTTTTTATTTTTTATTTAATTAATATTAGTGTAGTTAGTGTGTACGGTATGATTTGTTTACTGTTTTTCTTTTTAATGTTGTTTGCGTCTTTAAACGTTTTTATTTCTATTGTCAAAACAGGAATGTCCTTGATATGTTTATTTACAGAGGTGAAGATATCACTTGACACTGTTGTAACGTGTTTCTTAATAAAACTAAATACTCTTAGGTACAATGTAAAATGTTTATGTTAGTAGATAACACTACTGTAATAACTACAATTGTACAGATAAATAATGTATCTGTTTCTAACAAAAATATAGAAAGCCGTATTATTTTTACTAAGGAATGGTGAGATGAATAATGGTGTAAGTTTCATCGATAAATCACGCTTTCCCTGTCTGATAGGAGCTCCAACCCTGGGGTCGTACTTGCCAAGAACTCTTCTTAGTTTTATATGATATCGTTATCTAACGTCTGCAATCAATTGAGACGAAATGAACACTCTAAGAATAAATGGCTATGATATTTATTCTTTCACAAATCTTCTACATATTTTCCTTGTATATTTACGTGATAAGTCGCAAAGATCTTGGCAAACTTGAGAGTATTCACACATTGTTGAATTATTGCTTTATCTTTTTCTTTAAATGCAGTTCTAAAAGTACCTAAGAGTTTGTTTGCTTAATATGATGTGAATCACCTATAGTTTAGGGTAGGTAGCCCCTCTGAAATGATGATGATGAAAATGAGATTGTCAAATTATGAATTGCAAATATCAAAATGACATGACTTGATGACAAACCATGGCAATCTTACTTCCTTAATGTTGGCAGCTTGTAGCTTATGGTCCCCTTTACGCATTAGCGGTTTTATCCAATTTGTGTACCCTCTAAGTTTAATAGCGTGAAAATATATAGCCTAAAGTGTGATGTAAGTATAGGGCTTTTTGTTAAAGACAGAATTATTCAAAAATATGCTGTGATTGCTGACATCTTACGCCACAAAGAAGTGTGTGTTTACGCGTTATTTTTTTTAGTATAAATAAGAGTATTCTATGGAAATTACTTTTCAGAGATGGTTTTTGCGACTGATTGCGAGAACAATAGTTAAGTAAGCTACTTCTTGAGAAGTGCTTCACTGTTTTTCGATCAAATCGCTACTTAATATCAAGTGGCTATAGTTTACAACAGGGACGGATTTAATTATGATATTTAAAAATGGAACAATAAATGAATAAAAGATTAAAATATATAGATTAAACGTAGACAGGATAATATAAGTAAATAATTTATTTAAATTAGTTGGAAGACTTTAATAAATAAAACAATATTGAGATTTACAAAAATAACATTCCGATTTGAAAAGCAATAAAAGAAAAAAATTAACGCTTTCTTTTGTTTGCAAATTGCCTTTATTGGAAAGATTTGACAAGTAACGTCTGAAATAAAAGTGTCATTGAGTTAAAAACATTGCTTTTTAGTCTGGCTAAATTTACGTATGATATAAAATGGTAGGACAGTATAAAACGATACGGATAATTGAAGAATATCGGGCCGAGTTCGGCGCATCCCGGCAGGAAAATAGAAGTGCTAAATAGAACAAAAGTTGATGGACCGTGAAATAGTCTGTCGGTAAAAAGAGTGCCTCTTTTATAATCCACTCTGTACGGATACTAAATGAAATTTTACACGTCAATTTTATTTTATAATCTCTATTGCTATGCCATTAGCAAATATACATTTAAAATTTAATGAATAATGAAGCTAGCGTTTAATTAAGTGAGCATGTAACTTTTGTTATTTGAAGATGTATGTTTTAAGTTGTGCCTTTCTAAATGTTTTTAACCCTTTAACGATCAAGGGAAATATTTTTCCCTTCTTCAAAATTCGTTATCGATTATTCAATTAATATTGTATCTAAATTTATTTTAATGCTTAATAAAATGAAAAATATGTTCAAGGCGGCAAATGTGCTTCTGAATGATTTGAAAAAAACAAAGAACATTTAAACTTTATTGCGCCAATATCAAATGTAAAAAAAAATTTGGCTCAGCTTTCTTATGTAACGGTTTATAGATAGATAAATTTAACCCTATAAATAGTCTAAATTATAAATTAAGAGTATTTTATACTTATGAAATACAAGGTAGTATAAAACGCTTTGTAAAGCTAATTTAGAAGTTATGGAGAGGGATATAACGCATTCCCACGTTCTAGGAAGTAAGCTCTGGATCGCTACGCTTCGGTACTTTGCTCTTCAACAATAAATCCTTTGTTGCTTTACTTTCCATCTTTCAAGTTTTTAATTTACTATATTAATTAATAGCTATTGCTCGCGACTTCGCCCTGGTGAAATTAAAAAATATAGCCTATATATTATTACTGACCGATAACATAACTTTTGAATAGTGAAAGATTTTTTTAAATTAGGCCAGTAGCTTTGAGTTATTTCTATACATACAAAAATCCATAATTATATTTAGATGAATTGTCAAAAGCATACGTTATTAGTACCCGCTTATCTTATTAATATATAAACACGAAAGATTGGATGGATGTATGTTTGTTATTACGGATCTTCAAAATTGCTAATGGCTAAACGGATTTTGAAGATATTTCGTACAGATTTAGAATATAGTCTGGAAGATTAATTAGGCTAATTATAAATAGCAAAAAGCTTAATAGTTTTTTTATTAATTTCGCGCAGGCGATGTCGCGAGGAAAAGCAGTAGGTTTTATATTGTTTTAAACAATTCGAGTGAACTTACAAATACATGAGGTTTAATAAGATACGGTATACTCAACATAATAGTATACAACCTCTACCTTTTTAAAACTCATTACTGTTTTTACGAAGTATTAATTATGTTAACTGAGTCCAGGGGTATTAATAAAATTTGCAATCTCGTCTCTGTTTCGCTTCAAATGCCAATGTTGTCTAGACCACCCGCGATGATATCGTACTACAATTAATTTTGAACTTTATTGTTATAAGGCCGAAAACGGCTTTTCATTCAACACAGTACAACGTTGCAGACTGAAAACGAGTCTATAATCGCCTCGCAATTTTGATCTTGCGAATACATTTAATAGTAGCTTATAGCAAATTTAATATATGTTTATATTATTATACAGAAACATTAGCAAATAAACTTTAATATTAAAGCAAAAAGCAAAAAAAAGTCTATTACTATTTCATAGCCTCTTGATAATCCAAAACAATAAAAGAAAATATTTTAACTTCCAAATATTTTGCGTAACAAAACGTTTATTTTTGGTAAATGAGCCTTGTTAGTACAAACTAAACTTTGATTTACACATTTTAAAATCCATTTTAAACTGGAATCAAGTTTGCAAAACACCAAATTAGTAAGCCCTTTTTACGTATATTGTATTGTTTTAGTATTAAAACCTCATTACAGTTTAAAACAAAGGAAAGGAATCAGCGTGTAATAAATTAAGCGATGCTCAAGACGGAACATTTACTGGTTTCTTTTAATTCGGTCGCCATTGCAGCGGCGCCCCGCGGCGTCACCCGTTGCATTTCTTGCGAGAATACCAGCTGCTTTTAACATAACTCGCTTCTTATTGGTAGTGTACGTGACGAATTTTTGTTTCTTAAGTAAAAGGGCCAATATTTTCATACTCTTCCTAATTGAACATTGAACACATTTTGTCAAGAATTGAAAATACCTTAGGCTCTACGTAATTATTTTAAGTTGATGTAAAGAAAATAATTTTGCTTCATATATATGTGACAACAGTTTTTTCAATGTGGGATAAAAATACTTAAAGAATAACGGGAATTATATCATAAAAAAGTGACTAAAACAGACAACAGCTGAAAACTTTTGTTTGCCATTATGCGTGGGCCATTAAAATGGGGAATAGTAAAATTTTTACGACTAAATAACACGTGTTTCGCAAAGAATCGGTTCCAACTGTGACCCATCTGCGGCGAACAGAACGTGCCGATTCCGTACCATATTAAAATTCCCACACATAAAATTGAATGGGAAAAAAAGGTCCACCAACGGCCCCTTTCCAACTCACAACAAACAAGCAGGTAAGCGAATCTTTACGACCCTTAACGAATGAAATATATTCACATTGTTAAGGAAATTTACGTCTTATTGCTCCAAGTTTAAGAGCTCAATATTGATTCAAAATCATTTCTCGAGTGACGATAAAAAAAATAATTTATAAATTTGAATGTCGTGCGATGAAATAGAATAGTATCGAATACTTTGGTAATAAATAAGATTCTAGAATATTCTATTACTAAATTATTCTAGAGACTAGATTCTAGATGTCAAATTCATATTTTAATAATTAGCATTCGTAAGGTTGTTTTTATTCATATTTGTAAAATGTAGAAAAAAACAATCTCAATTTTTTTTAAATCGAATCCGCCTGACTTTCATTTACAATCAAATCTTATGATTTGTGATTTAAATTAAACTATTACATAACAATTTATTATATAATAATATAATAAATTATAAATATAATGGTTTATTATTAAAAGTTTGTTTATTTAATTAAATAGCTGAATATATCGAAATCGGATGGCGAGACAACTATTCTTTAAAGGAATATTTTAATCTTTGTATTAGAAATAACAGAACATTCAAATGAAATTTTTAGTAAGGGTCCACATTCTACGGCAGGGTTTTTTGTGACGACAATCAAATAGAGGATGCGCGGTGTGGCCGGAGGGGGGAGGGTGGAAGTATCAATAGACCTCTGTGAGAAAGTGCCGAGTTGTTGTGACGATTACAAATTTCGTCTTATGAGTGTGATATTTTATGTGTCCGCTCGTCCGTTTATGACGCTTCTAGAAAAGATTTAAATTTGTGATCTCCTTTGATGATTTTTTCAAATGTCCTTTGTATGAGAATAGAAAGACAGGTGGTTTTATATTTCTGATGACGAGACTCATTTAAGTATTAACAATCAC